CCCCCTGAAAATTGTTTAAGTGCATCTCGTGACGAATAAAAAGTACACTTTATATGATTCACACGAACGATCCGCTTATTAACGCAGCTTCTTATTTTGCAATCTCGTCGTGTGATAAGGAGAAAGAAAAAGTGCGCACCGAATTATGTTCCCTCGACACCGTTCCGAGGAAAGTGTCCATCGACGCTGATCTCGATGATCTCGAATAAAAATCGCCTCGACGGTTATTAGGGCGCACGTAAACGTCACATCTCCTCGCAGAAACGTCATCGCGTGATTTGGCCGATTAAGAGCGCGGCGTTCGCGTTTTATTTACTCTCCCTTTCTCTCTCTCTCTCTCTCATACACGTATCACGGACACGCGAATCATCCCGGTATGTTCTCACGGACGCGAACGCGACGGAAGTAGCTTAACGCAATTTACGGCGAACGCGACGACGACCACGTCGACGAGCCACGTCCGCCGGTAATCCCCTCGTCCTAATTCTCGCTAACATTCGAATATTTCAGCTTAAGTACACGCCTGTGTGTGTACGTGGCTCACCAGGGGTCGGTGGAGTGGTGGTGAGCGAACGAGAGAGGGCGAGAGAGCGAGCGAGTGAGCGTGCGATTTACCGCGCGCGAGACGATCCGCTACCTCGGCAGGCAATATCTCATTGAGCAAAGGAGGAGGTGACTTTAACGCCGGGCGGCTCCCTCGCGCTCCTCCCGCGCTGAGCAATCGCGGCCGAACCGAGAAGACGTGCTCGCCGAGAGAGTAAGATCGTTAATCTTGCCGCGCACCGATCGGGCTGGGATAGTAATTGTTACGTTCTGCTTTCCCGTGGCCGACCGTTCGAGCGTGTCCGACGACTAACCTCCTCCACCTTCTCATTCCCATTCTCCTCTTCCACCTTCTCCCCGTCCTTCTCTCTCACCTCCTCCACCAACCTGATTCGACCTGTTCCTCTTTCGCGCGTTCGTCTCCGCGTTCTATTTCCCACCTCTGTCTTTACACGTGCGCGCTCGTTCGTTCGTTCGGCCCTTGCCTTTGCGTCGGGAGTCGCCGACCGATCCTCATCACTACCAGCCCTGGGTGTCGATGCCTCTAGCGATTCCGTCGGCACTACAATGCTTCTGTCGACTGTTTGTGTTGGGTCTGGCGCTTTGGCTCGTATATAGCGGCCGGCAGGTGAATGGAATTGCCCCGCGCGCACGCGTTGTGCGCGGACGATGAATCGGTTTCAAGCTAAAAACTGGCGACTCAGGAAAGGGTGAAGCGACAGTAATGGCTCATGAGAAGGTGATTGATACGAGATCCACGCGATATCATTGACAGTCTTTAATCGTGGCTTAAGGCTTCTGGGTACTCGCTGTAGCCATCTTGATTTATGACGTCAAAAGTGAGAAAACACACGTTCAAAATTCTTACAAAATACGTTGAAGTAAACAGATATGTTCACAAAATGGCATTTACAATCGATCGAGCAAATCTGTAAAATAATCCGAACACTTTTCTTTTGCTTTAACAATCAATAAATAATCGTAAAATTAACGTGACAGTATTATGAGAAAAGATAGATTAAGAAGATTGCATTTCACGTTATGCCATATCATTTTATGGATAGCGTGTATTTTCTCGTTTCTGATGTTATCAATGAAGAGATGCGTGAAAAGCCCCTTTGAATCTCGAATTACAATTTTATTTGCGAAAATATTTCTTTCTCTTTTCATTGTCGTCCCTAGCAGTGTAGAGATAGTGTCTGAATGCTTTCATAATCTTTCAATCATTTTAGAGAAATTAGAAAGTTGCCTCAGAGAAACAATTCTTTGATATGCTGTATTACCTTCAATGCAAATTATATATTCTGCATAATAACAATTTTCTACTTTTTATGCACGAGAATATTTTGTACAATTTACTTTTATAATAAGTGCAACATTAATAAATTGCACTTGTGGAGATATCAGCTTCGGAGTGGGAGAGATAACGTGTCGAGAATTCACTGGTTTTTATCGTTACAACTGATGATAAGATAAAAATCTCGCCCAGAGTCATGAAAGATAGCGTTGCTAACAACTTTGACAGTTTCATGGAAAAAAAATATCGATTAATTTGACATCTAAATCGACTTTAACTAAATGTTGCCTCAACGCAAAAACGAGTAACAAAAAGTTAAGGAGTAATAAAGAGTTAATTTTTCTTTTGGACTTTTTTTCTATTTGGTTGTATAAAATTGTAAATACTTGCACACGGAGTGAAAGCACAAATGGCAATGAATGAATGGCGAAATACCCACTGTTATACTAAGAAAAGGAGAACAAAAAAATTTGTAAATAAAATTATTTAAAACTTTTTTATATAATATGGAATACTCCGGCATTCATTGACACTTTCACTTTCACTCTGTAGAAGCATTTGCGATTATATACAACTAAGTAGAAAAGCAGTGCAAAATATGAAGCTCTGCATTATGTCGATATTCACTATCGTTTTAATTGTAATCAAAAAGCTGGCGTGGCCACAACGCATTTTCGCAGCAGGATTCTCGACCATAATTGGCATTGGATATATTTTCAAAGTATCGTACCGACAATTTTGAGACAAATCGAGTACCATCATTTATAGCCGATAAGTGGAGGGAAACACGAAGGGCCTTCTTCGGATGAGAGAGAAAGAGAACTACCGCGATCCAGGATTTCTGGTTTCGTTATTGGGCATCCTCCACCTGTTCCAACGTGCATCTTTTGGGCAGCTCGTATTACATGGACGCGCGTGACGATCGCCCCAAAAAATCCGCGAGCTCCATATACCACGAAGAGGTAGCCAGAATCTCTGGTTTCTCGCGGTGCGTCCGTTTTTTACATTTTTATACCCGCGCCGACGAGACTGTCCAAGTCGTTTCATTCGCGCGCAAATAGAATCAGGGTCTCTCTCTCTCTCTCTCTCTCTCTCTCTCTCTCTCTCTCTCATTCACTCTGGCGGGGTTCCGGCTGGATCTGGCAGGATCTGGGTCCGAAAAAACGGAGACGTGCGCGTGAAAAGGTGCGTCGATTCGTCGTGTTAACGCCATTAACGAGTCCGCTCGTATTACGTGCTCGGCGGCGCGATCCCGCTCTCCTCTCCCCCGTCCACTTTGCCGCGCCTCTCGTCCCCGATCCTTCCCTGGTCCTCGCCGCGTGTCCTCTGCCTTCCTCTCGCCCTACCGTGCTTGCTCGCGCGCGCGTATCCACGGGCTCGTGAAGCCGAGTGTAGCCATAAATTCGGCGGTCGCGCGGTCCGTTGACGCGGGCCACGATATCCGAAATGTCGGCGGATCCGATGTTTTCGTGCTCTCAACGGCGACAAGCGCGATTCCACCCGTGCCCGTAGAAGAGAGTGTCGCCCGGAGAAACCAGTTTCGCGCGCAGATTCCTTATTTGCGAGCCCGACGAAACCGTAGATTCGAGTTAATCGTCGATGAGCGTTCCCTCGCTCCGCGCGCTTTTTCCCCTCTCGTGCCACCTGTCCTCTCTTTCTCCCTCTCTCCCTCTTTCTCTTTTGGTCCCAGACCCCCTCGTTTCCCGCACATCCTCCGCTCGGGGACACCTCGGATACGCGCCTCCGAGTGGTTTTAGGGGTACGTGTACACCGCCAACTTATTCGCCGACGTTCGCCGGCAAATGAATTTATTTCGGCGGTGATCGTGTCGCCGAGCGGAATTGACATATTTCGCGTGGCATCGAAATAAACGGAAATTTGAAAGCAATCGCGTGTATCAATACGCCAGATTTCTAATTGAGATTTCGAAGTAAGGTAATATAATTTTACAATGCGTGAATTTTTACAATGCGTGACTTTACACATTTGCAGGTTCAGAAAGAGAGAGAGAGAGAGAGAGAGAGAGAGAGAGAGAGAGAGAGAAAGGGGAGGGAAAGGATAGAAAGAAATCGTTCTTTTCAACTACTTTATGGAAAACGAATATCTGGCAAATTTATATCTCGTTCTATGGAACGTTAAGCACGAGAGATAGAGTTTGACGATTTTACCTTGTATTTGTGCTTGCTTCGTTCCTCTCCTTCGTCCTGACAAAAGGGCATTTTGAATGGGCGCGATTGTCGAGAATGTCCGTGACGTCAGTATCCGCGAATGATATAAATACAGGAAGTACTAAAAATAGGAAAGCTGGTAGCAAAATATCTTGCGTGTTAAAATATATTGCGTGTTAAAATAGACATGCGGAAATATATTTCATCGAAGATAATTTACATGGAACATAAATCAAGGGTCAAGCAGAACCGTTGATGTCCATTCCTTCGTGTATCCACGCCTATTTCGATCACTTTTTCTTTCGACTTTATGTTTGATTTAATTTTTAACCTTTTCAATGCTCCGCACGAATATACTCGCCAAATTATTATATTTCTATAGTGCTCAAAACAAATTAATTCGCATGCGATTTTTAATTTAATAATAAAATGTTATGTTCATTTATATGCGTTTATTATTATATATATTAAATAATTAAATTTATATATTATATATATTAAATATATATTATATATATTAAATATATTATATATATTAAATTTATATATTATATATATTAAATAATTAAATGCTCCGCACGAGTATACTCGTCGCTGATGAAAATGTTGCGCACTACTAATGTACAAACATATTGCGCAGCGAAAAGGTTAAGAATAAAAGTAATTTTTAAGAAACTCTAGGTAATTTTTAAGATCCTAGGTAATTTTTAAAAGCCTGATTAGTTTTAAAGAACGCAAGTAATTTTTAAGAGTCTGGGTAATATTTTTAAGAGCCTATATAACTTTGAAGAATTTAAATAATTGTTAAGAACCTAGATGATTTTTTAAGAGCTTAGGTAATATTTAGAAACCTCTGTAAGGGTAATTTTAAAGAACGCGCAGATAATTTTTAAAAACAAAAGTATTGTTTAAGCACAAAATGTATAATATTTAATTTAACATGGGATTTTGAGGAAAAGAATCGGTTCAGTAAGTAGCGAGACCGTGGAATGTTCGTGTAAATTTATTTCAATATAGCATACTTCGTTGTGCGGAATATATTCGATGAGAATCGTCGGAAAATCATTTCGTCCGTCGTAGGATAGTTTAGAAAGAATTTGGAAGAGAGTTTGCGAGAAAGAGATAGAGAATGAATCGTGACACCGTGTGGAATATTTACAAACGTATTCATTTAAATAAACGTTATTTCAACAGAGAATTAATTGTTCGCGTTTTCTTTTTCTCTATCCGCTTACTCCTATCTCAGATACCTAGGTAACGCATGTACCTTCCCCGCCCCTCCTCCCTATCTCATAAAGGATTCTCTAGGACTAGTTCCGAACAAGCTCGTAACGAGCTCGCTCTTCGCTCTCACGGTACATCCTTCCTCGTCGACGCTGCTCTCTCGCGAGCGACTTCTCAGCTAAAAAAGAGAAGTAAGACTGACACCGCTTGGCGTTTATATCGACCACCTATGCAGTCAACGATAACAATTACAGCGACATTGATAACATTGCGTTTTTTGAATATTATTACACAACACCGCGCGACACTCACACTCTCCATGACTCGCCGTGATTACGAAAGGTAGCGTCCTCATAGAACAAGTGCTTTCGCGGGATTCGAAATATAAGACACGTCGACCGACGACGAAGCATGAGCCGAGGAGCCCGTAGGGAGAAGGTAGACGAGAAAAGAGACATTACTAAATACACACGACGGCGCGGATCGTAGTCGACGAGCGAAGTTTGCCGGCGTGTCGCAAATGATGCGACGAGAGTTACCGAACTTGTGGCCCCATCAGCACTCGCGCATGTCAACCAAGCCAAGTCGACTGCGGGATCGACGACTCCCGTTCGCGCCGACGGACACCAGCCGCTACTCCCTGAAACTCGCGCCGTACTCGGAGCACCATAGAGCGAAAGATATTCTCCTTCACATTTGCACTGGTCGGTCACTCGGGACATCGACAGTTCCACCGAGAGTTTAGCAATAAATAAACATCGTGTCGATTCACTGGGCAAGTAGAACCCCACTGTTTTGGGAGTCTCTTACCGCGCACCACTTAATGACGACTCGGACCACTGCTCAGTAGACATGATGACGTCAAATGGCGCATCACTGACGTATTATTGACGTTAGAGACTTGATTGTTAAATCAGTTGTCGTCATCCTGCCGCTTCGGTGGGCAACAACAATCGAACACCGAAGCGAGACATCGACACTTAACGCACTGTCTCGCTCAACGATCATGCTTGGTCAGCTCCAAAGGCTGCTGATCGGTCCAATGATCCCTCCAGGCGACTGGCGGCGGCGACGGCGCGTCTTGATCGGAGTCCTGCACGTCGATCTCCTCGTCCTCGTCCTCGTCCTCGTGGTCGAAACGTAGCCTGTGCGCCGAGCCGGGGCTCGGGCCACGCGCGAGCAGAGATCCTGAGCGCTGCTCGTACGCGGGACTGGTCGGTCGCGAGGACAGCCCGGTGGAGTCGTCGCCCACTAACTGACTGATCATCCGGAAGGCGCTGGGCTTCCTCTCCGGTTGCTTCGGCAACGATTCGAGCCGGTCGATTCTGTCGGACGACCTGTCTACGGTGACGTTGTCCCTGTTGGCGGAGTTGGCGACCACTGCGCGGAACGCGCTACTTTCGCCGCCCATGCCGGCAATGGAGCAGCTGGACGTACGCTGGCCGATTTCCATAGCGGACGTAGCGGAGTGCGGTTGCTGCTGCGGCGGCGGCTGCGGCTGCGGTGGCGGTGGCGGTGGTGGCGGTGGTGGTGAGCGCTTTAAGAGGTTCATGCGCTGGTGACGACGCCACTTTGCCCGTCTGTTGGAAAACCAAACCTAAGAGTCACGAGTTAGGTCGTTAGAACGCTCGTGATCAATTCGGACAAGTCGGGATTTCGGGACGCGAAGTCGGACGCGACGGTCGTCTTCGCAGGGTCCCGGTCACAGTGTGTGTGCCGTGAAGGGAGCTGTTCCCGAGGTGGAGTTCCCGGCACCCTGCGTAGACGTCAGCGTCGGCCGTTTATCCCTTATCGGTGGATCCTCACCTGAACGCGCGCTTCCGACAGCGACGTCTTCGAGGCGAGACGCTCGCGCGTCGACACACAGGGGTAGTGCGACCTCTCGAACTCTTTCTCGAGTTCCTCCAGCTGCTCCGGGCTGAAGGTCGTGCGATTGCGCCGGAACTTGGGCTGCTCCGAGCCGTCTAAGCTCCCGTCGTCCCCGTCACCGTCTATGCATCAAGAGAAACGCGTTTCCTATGGGCTGCGATTTCAGTTCTGAGCGCGATCCGCTCCCGAAATGAAAAAGTAAGTGCGGACATTGGACGTACGTTATTGTCGACGCGAGAATACGCGCGAGTCTCTCGACGATGGACTAAAAAAATCGCGTGAAAAGAACCAAATCTCGAGATATGCAAATTTTGTTGCACTAACTGCAGTCGAATCAAGTTAAATCAAGCGAGATCAACAATCTGATATACAGTTTCAACTACAAAATTTAGTCGTCGATAAAAAGTTGGTAAAAGTAGAAATTTTATTTACGATACAGATATTGTTCTTTCATCTATCAAAAATTAACTTAAGGCTCCTGTGTTCTCGCATTCGCCATTTCTTTTCAATGACGAGGAAACAAAAAATTTTTGCAAAATATATTGAAATTAAAGGATATATCTATAAAGGACTATTTTACAGATCTGCTTGATCAATTGCAAGTGTCGCTTTATGGATACATCCTTTCATTTCAACTTATTCTGTAAGAATTTTTAGCATATATTTCCTTACTTCTGATGTTATTAAAAAGAGATGGGCGACAGGAGCTTTAAGCCTAATTTACAATGTGCTCTTTGCATCTTGTTTCATTGTTTCTGCCTTTCATTTCTTGTTTCTTGTCGCTTAGAACTAAAGAATCCCGTTATGTAGAATTTGTTCTCTGAGGAAAAGTGTCACTTCGCGTGGATCAGTCAGAATAGATCGTTTTGGTCAGGTGATAGTTTGACCAACTTCGTTTAACTTCACTAGTTTCGTGGTGGCTCTTTTTATACAGCGCAAATTACATCCTAAAGACGTTCCAGAAATATCACACATCTCTGCTTTGTGCTATATGAGTTGTATTTCTTATTGTAGCTTTGAGATAAAAGTTGATGAATTCCAAGAGACAAGAGACACGTGACAAAAGATACAATGGTCGATAAAACAATACATCTAGAAGCAAAGACATAAAAGATAAAAGGCAGGAAACAGGAAGCAAAGAGCACATTGTAGATTAGGCTTCAACTGCATAATACGACTACTGCTACCTCGAATTTTTTTCAACGGGTCACGAGCGTAAGGTCAAGTCGCTCTGAAAAGCCAACTCTTTCCCAACGTGTAAATTCGAGCTCGCGATTCGCGTCGAGACTCAGCGGGCGCGAGAAGACGCGATCGTCTTGGTCGTCACCTTGCAAGTAACCGCGAGCGATCGCGTCGGCGGTGTGGAGGGCGTGCTCGGTGGTGCCGGCAGCGGACGCGGACGCTGCTGCGGCCGCGGCCGCGGCAGCCGCGGCCCCGGGACTCAGAGACGGCGGCAACAGCAGTGCGGACGCGGCGGCGCCGGAGATACCGGTAGCTAGAGGCGGCAACATCCACGGGTGTCCGGCCGCGCCCGGGGCACCCGGCCAACCCGCCGGCAGATGGTGGCTCGTGGTCGGGTGTTGGTGCGAGTTGAAGTACGGGTGCGGCCCGGCGGCCGCGTACAGGCCGTAGCCGGCGGCACGCGCGAACTCCGCGGCCGCGCGCTCTGCCGCGCGGTTTCGCAGTATCCGATTGATGCTGCTGACTGACGGCGCTGTGGCATTACTGCAGACTCCTGGAACAGGCCGGGCGGCCGGACGACATTTCTTTCAAGTCGAGCTGGGAAACCATACCTGAGAGAAACGACCAAACGCGTCGGGCCGGCGCACAGCGTGCCAAAAAGCACATTTGGTGGACAAAATTCTGCCTACATCACAAGTCTGCATGTCGATTTTGATGAAACTTTTTTTAAAATACTCGTGAATAGCTCTACTAATGTCTCACTGCCAAAAATTTGAAGAAAATAAATGTAATCCCAAAAAAATTACTCCAAACTCCATTACCTGTTACCCCTAATTACTTCAAACGTCATAACACCATGTGATCCGAAACTCCATCACTCCAAACCTTATAGTCCTATAACTTCTACCACCAAATCACCGTGCACATGATCACCGTACGATAACCGTTCAATCAATAATTATCAATAATAAGGAAACGACCGCGTGGCTAAAATCTCGAGACGCCGCACAGTGTACCAAAAAGCACATTTGGTGGACAAAATTCTGCCTACATCACAAGTCTGCACCGATTTTGATGAAACTTTTTTTAAAATACTTATGAATAGTTCTACTATAATGTCTCACTGCCAAAAATTTGAAGGAAGCAAACATAACCCCCAAAAATAACCCCAAATTCCATTATCTGTTACCCCTAATTACCTCAAACTTCATAACACCATCACTCCGAAACTCCATCACTCTAAATCTTATAATCCCATAACTCCTAAATCTGATTATCCAATTAAAAACTCCATAACCACAAAGCCCCGTTATGGGATTAACTGTTTTTTATATATTGTTTTCAAATCTTTTATAAGAAGACCCAGTCTATGTGTCCCAGTCAGATCTATGTGTATAAGTCTATAGTCCCAATATGCTTAAAATACTTTTTTTCGATAAAATTTGTAACATAGCCGAAAACTTAATGAGGCTTAATGAGATAATTTGTTTTTGAATAATAGAAGTTAAGTCCTCTCATTGAACATTTATTGTGTTTCGACCTGCACCAAAAAAAAAGTATTTAAAACTATATTGAAACCCAGTGTATAATATTATTATACTTGTAGCCAGATAGGTTATCCATTATTTTTAGTGTGAATATATCGGAATATATTTTGTGTTTTGCTCAATGGAGGTATTTGTTTTCCAATGGGAGAGGTCTGCCATTGGCTGAGAAGGACGTGTTCTGGAACTCACGCAAAAAAAGCGAACAACCTATCTGGCCGCAAGTGTACACATGCGAGAATACGATGGTGAAATTGAGGAACAATTGTTTTGTGGTATTCGTGTTAGCGCGAAGGCTCGAGAACAGGTATGTGTGTCAAGAAGTAAGGCCGTAGGAACGCGTTTCTTAATTCTTTCGCTAAATTACACGTTACTGGTACATGCGTCTGTAATCACGGGCGGTTTGCACTCGCATGGCCTGCGGAGGATGAGCATAATTAAGTAAGGAACACGCTACTTTATGCATCGCGCTGACGAAGACTCTCGACGTCTGTGACTAAGCGCGTTGCGCACCGCGAAGGATCTTAGTCAGTGTCAATTTTCATCGAATTAGTCGGCGGCGGACGTGATCTTGTTGCGCCTCGCGATTACCACCGCCCGGCGGCGCGCTCTCGTTGTTCTCCGTGAAATAAAATTCCGTTGATCAATTTATGGCTCGTTCGCAGCTCTCAGCGCGAGTGATCTTTTAGCACATGGCGAGGCTCGTAAATTTTTCTCCTCGTTTAATCTGAATTTATTACTCGAATGTATAAATGAGCGCACATCTGCTTCGATGGGACGCAGTATCCGTCGAAGAGCGATATTATTATCTTACCCTCGGAGATTAGCCTCTCCCGAATTTCCCAGGCGAAGATGGTCGGGTTCTCCCTTTTATATTGCTCGATCTTGGCGACGACAGCCGGCGTCGCTACCTTCGGCTTACTGCCGCCGATCAGGCCCGGCGGGCGCAGCGTACCTGAAACACGATAAAACGGTCTTCAAGGACACGGCGCATTGGCAAAAGTCCTGCCTGATAAAATCGCTCGTAAATGGCGCCGTGGCATGGCGCATTTATATTTTCCGGTCCGTTCGACACGGCACGTTCACGCCAAAAAGCACGAGGCCCGCTGTTAATTTTCGAAAATCACGCGATGCACGCGCCTGGGAATCCGCGTGTATCCTTCTTGGGCGTATGCGATGGGCTCCAATCCAATAGCAATTATGATGCTTGATGTATTACAACCAGGACTGGGAAAGTTTTGAAAAATAGCCCGTTACCGTTACTGGTAACTCGTTAAAAAACTCCTTAACATTAACAGTAACTTTGAAAAAGAAAACTCGGTACCGTTACGGTTACTTAAAGCAACTTCAATTTTCATTACTCTTTTCTCCAAGTTTTGATGACCTTTTTTGTTTTTATGATTCGTTGTCCCATCACAGGTATATATATACTTTGCGTGCGCAAAGCAACGGTAAAAGTAACGATTGTCTTCGTTGCCGTTATTCAAAGAATGTAGTTACTTTACTGTTACTATTATCAACAAAAAAAACCAGAAATAATGTCGTAACTTAGTCGTTACTGGAAAAAAAGTAATTGCACAATAGCAACATAGCAAGTATTACATTTGTTTCCAATCCTCATTACAACTTTGTCATTATGTGTAATATGTTAATTCGTAAATGTTTATGATTGTGACTTTTCTTCTCCCCTTCGTTCTTTTTCTCGCTGCTTTATTGGAGATCAGATTTAGTAAGCAACTGGGGTAAGTTGGCAAAATCGATTATTTTTACTACTCTTTAGATTTATTCTTTACAGATTTCAGAATCAAGCAAGCAGAGATTTCAAAGCCATCTTTGAAAGCCATGTTTAAATCTTGTGTGCTTAACTGTGTAACTTACTAGAAAATAGAAGAAATAATCGGTAGCCAACTAGCCCCGTCTCCCCTACTATTTAGGTAAGAATAAATGATGGTACTTTCTCAATTTTCATGGCATTTTAAAAACACACCATCTTCGAGTAATTTTATCATAAGATGAAATTGAAGTCGAATATACGTGAATAAGACAAATATACGTGGATTAGAGCAAAAGGTACAAATATGGGCCATGATCCAAACACGGGCTACTAGTTTTGACTCTGTATAGTGCTATACTTTGTTAAGAAGTATTCGAATAATTTTTTTCTAAAACGTAGTATGTAGGCTTGATTGTACGGTTGCTTTCGAACCGGTTTAGAAGTTATATAAGATTTTCTGTTTCTTGACAAGTTGTCATTATGTTTTACTTAGAAACGTATATTGATGTAATCGCTTATGAGCTATAAAAAATATAAGAATGGATGTATTAAAGGGCATAATTAGTTTAATTGAAAATACATCGTGTTCGCTAATATAATCTCATATCATCCATGATGTTGCGAATATGGGCTACTGTAGATGGTTTTAATATAGGTTAGTAAATGCCAGTGAGAATGATCTAAATTTGTCAGCCAGAAGGAGAAAATTTGAAGAAAATAATATTACAAGATGGTCGCTTTGTGATAAAAGTTTTTCTAATATTACAAAGAGGAAATTGTGGTTACAGCACTCTTTGTGGGCACACAACGATTATACTGAGACACAAAATTGCTAAATGATTATGCATGTGATATTTTCCGATGATCATATCAAGATCATAAAATATAAAATAAAAGGTTTCTTTACCTTCAATTCTATGCTACCCCGAAATTACAAAAGTAGCTTATATTTAAATCCCTTTTCAAACAAATTTCTTTGTTTTCAGAAGAGTAATTAATTAAAAAGCTAATCATTTTAAAAATATATTACAAATATTGAAGTGGACAGCCCATATTGCTTGATAGAACGTATATTCGCTCATAACAAATTTAAATATTTTAACATATAAAGAGAAAAACTGGTAGCCCATATGTGGGTCTTTTTCTGTATTAAATGATATTCCGTGATAATATTGACTTCGCATAATTTTCGATTTTGTTTTGTGATTTTCAACATTTTCGAGAGCCACAGGGACTTTCAGAATGTACGAGACCTTCAAGACTCTGAAGAATTTTCGGTCGTGAATAACAATCGGAAAGCAATTTAATACTTTCGTCGTGCATTCAGAATGAGTCGATGTGTTTCCAGACTCATCGTTAATTACGGTACGCGATACTTAGCATCGCGTGCTACCTGCAAACGGATATCAATCCTATCTTCGTATCTGAGTAGATTCATGATGCAGCGATTAGGGCAGTACGAGGATACCTTACATAATGCACATCGTGATACGAGAAAATTACCTGCGCACGTGTAACCACTGCGCGTTGGCCTGTGATAATCCGGAATGATTTATCGCGTGATTATGGCGCGGGCTATAGATGCCTGATTAATTCCGGGGAGTAGTGCAGTGAGTAAATTTCATGCATATCACATAAAATATATTTTTCTGTAAACGTTGAAATAGGAACCACTGATCTGGAAATAAAATTACCTGTGAATGCGCTACTCTCCGTTGCTTACTCCTTCACTCTTATATATGCGATATTAGAATAAAAAAATCTTCAATTCCAGTCGAAAAATTTCAAAATAAACGCGCCCTTATTTTCAGTTTTGTTAAACCAGAGTTTCGCAATTAAGGTTTCAATGACTTGACTCGCGCATTGATAAACTTCCTCGAATGCCATCAATTATTATTTAAGTTTCTTGGAGTGAAATTTCACCCAAAGTGAGTGTAAATTCAGTCGATACGATAATGAAAACGCTAACATTCGGAATTGCAAAAATGAACGTTTCACTTAAGCTTAAAGTTGATTCTGATTCTATAAGAGTGAATGTTTCATTTAATTAGAGAGAATTTGTGCCTGTAACATTAGATTTATTCATCAATTTCAAATTAAATTGATACTCACTATAATAGCGTTTACTACAAAAATTATTTCCCTGACTATAAGTATTTTAGTATAATACTTATGATTACAAATATCAAATATTATTTTATCAAGTGAAAATATTCATTATACAAGAGAAGAATTACACAAATTCTATTGCCTCGGCTGTCACTCTACTTTTCGAATGAAATTTCACTGAAATACTGACAAAAATTTAAACTCACTAAAAATTATAGTTATTTGTATATTTTATAGTTTTTTGTAATTTGCATATTTCGTTGCTCTAACAAAGAAGTACAAGTAGCAATATGTATATGAGCATTTATCATCAACAACATTATAGTACATAGTTTTCCTGACTATAACCGTTCCGCTATGCATTTATAGTCGTAAACCAAATATTTTTGCATTAGTGATGAAATTGAAAGAGTTGGAAAGTTATTGTATCTTATTAAAAACTGTTTTAAAGCACGAATTCCATCGCTATAATATTCTACAGAAATGAAACGTCCTGTCTTGCTGGACAGTTTCTCAAAGCACGCACTTCAGTTCTATTGCTGGTATTCAGGCGGAAATTAAAGTTCTTATACACCGCTAAACTCGTGGGAAAGACAACGAGCGAAGCAACAGTGATTAGTGATGAATTAATTAGTACCTCCGAGTACTAATATCGAAGAGAAACGCCGCAGCACATGAAACGGCCCTCGTGTAAGCGTATTGCAAGTAGAAACCGACTACGCCCGCCATCGATTGCGCTGTTGATGTCGTGAAAGTCGCACGAATAACCAACAAAGTCTAACCAACTAAGTTTCACTGCATTAAGCTCTTAAATAATAAAACTTTGCGCGATAGTTTCGCGCCCTAATGATTCACGAACTATTTCAGAAAAATCGAGTACGAAGACAGATGATATTGCCGTGATCTTACAGCGATAAAAGTCGGCTGCCGAGTGATCAACCGATTTGGCCAATCGATCGGTCTAATTACAGTCGCGCGATACCGTGCACCGATATTGCATCGTAGAATCTCTCTTCCCTTGATCGATTTCTTCGCTATCGCGTCCTAATGGTAGGCAAAAGCACGGCGCCGTGTCTCGAGATCGGATTGCGTTGTTTTCGTCTTGTTCCACGCGAGCCGCGCGGTACGGTAGGAGCGCAGAAATGAGAGTCACGTTCGCGTGCTAACATCAACGTCAACCATCGAATGTAAAGGGTCCCATCGAGACTCGCCTTCCGACCCCAATTACGCGCGGACTCATCGTGGAAGGACGACGTCGCTCGTATCGCCGACGTGCATGCATCATTCGCGGTTTTCTGTCGCGGCCTGGCCGGATCTTCGGGAACCCCGAGAAGCGAGAGGGGAAGCGCGGAGGGAAAAACAGAGACGGAGACACAGAAGAAGAGAGAGAAAGGGAGAGAGCCGGATCGGTCCTGTCCGTCAGTCCAACGGGCGATGCCGCGAGAGACCGCGAGGTAATGGAAACCAGAGGCGCAGGCAGACTTGAGCAATTATCGGTCGTTACGTACTATTATTAATAACAATAATGACGGCTAAACCCGGCAGGGTATCGCGTGCGCTCCCACGGGTGAAGTGCGTGCCGGGTATAAACGATGTACCCACCTAATAGGTATCCATGCCGCGAGCAAATTCCTTGCTCCGACCTGCTATCTCTCTCTCCTTCTCTCTCTACCTCTCTTCACCCTTTAACGCCTCTCTCTCTCTCTCTCTCTCTCTCTCTCTCTCTCTCTCTCCCTTTCTCTCTTTCTTCCTCTCTCCCTATCTATCTTTTGCTCCTCGTCGATCTCTTTCCTCTTTCATTGCTGCTCGCTCGCAAGGTTTGCTCTTGGTCCGCTTCCCTTTTACACGTATGCGCGCATTCGTGCGTGCGTGAGTGCATACATGCGTGCGTGCCTGCGTGCGTGCGTGCGTGCGTGCGTGCGTGCGTGCATGCGTTCGTGCGCGCGTACGTAAGATTTTTGAGAGAAGGCGAACGCCGTTTTTAAAATAAAAGAAACCGCACGAAGCCAATTTTGTTGAGTTAGCCGATTGGTTAGATTGCGCCCGCGAGTCGGACAACGGACATCAGTCTC